GATGTATTGGAGCATAAGCTTTCGTGGGTGAATGCCCACTTCGTCGGCATGCTCCAATACATCTGTTAGTCTTAAAGGTGCCACAGGACTCTCTGTTGCTTTTTACAGTGGTTTCCAGATTGTCTAGGGTGCAGCCAGGCACCGGGTATTTGCACTTGGCTACCCCCCTTGCAGAGAAAGGACGTGCAGCTGCGGATCGGCAGTGGGGCAAAAATTTACTGAGTCTTGTGAAAGTCTTCTGTACTTGAAGGGCTCAGGTAGAACTCACACGTGGGAAGACCCAGCATGAATCGAGCAATAGATTATTTCTATTAGGTGTCTAGTAGTAACTCTGAATGGTGTCCGAATAGTTCTGTTTCTGTTGAGCTTTTGGGAACAGCTGTTTGGTTATGTAAGCACAGAAATGGGAGCTGTCCCTTTAACAATGGGCCAGGGCCCTCTGTCACACTGAGCCCTGTGTAGAAGGGGAGGGGTGTAGCCTGGAGCTTAGAGTACAAAAACTCAGCCTGTTTAAGCTTTTTTTTTTTTTTAAGTCACAACTGAGTTTAATGAAGCTTGTTCTTCAAAAGAGCAATGTTTCATTCTGGAAAGTGTAACACAAGTTTTCTGCAATGCCTTTATTCCAAGGCTCTGAGCTGATGGCAGCACACAACATTTCCAGTGCAAGGTAATTCAAGGTAGCCCAGTTTTTATGAGAGGTATTACATGTCAGAAAACTTTACAGAGCTATATTGTACAAACAATTGCAAACCTACCAAGGTACAGATGGCACAAAGCAGCAGATCACAAATTTACTTACAGCAAAAGATGACTGGAGAGAAGCCAGCATTCATTCCCTCCCACAGCATTTCTGATTTCCCTCCCTGTCCCTTCTCCCAGCATGTTAGGTTTCCCTTACCTTTCAGAAGCAGGGGAAAGGGAAGCACACACAAGATTTTAAACCTCCTGCCCAGGCCTGGGAAAGGGATTTCAGCAGCATGATCTTCTCTTCTTAGGCTAGGTCTACACTACCCGCCTGAATCGGCGGGTAGAAATCGACCTCTCGGGGATCGAATTATCGCGTCTCGTCGGGACGCGACAATCGATCCCCGAATCGACGCTCTTACTCCACCAGCGGAGGTTGGAGTATGCGCCATCGACGGGAAGCCGTGGAGGTCGATTTTGCCACCGTCCTTACAGTGGGGTAAGTCGGCTGTGATACATCGAATTCAGCTACGCTATTCACGTAGCTGAATTTGCGTATCTTAAATCGACCCCCCCCCCCGTAGTGAAGACCTGCCCTCAGACAAGGAGGGTGGGGTGGACTGGAAGAGCCAGAGCAGTTGCAGAACCAACAGGGAGGTGCTGCTTCTCAGACAGCTGTAGCACTCCAGCCTTAGAGCAGGAAGGAGGAGAACACCAGCTCTTCCAGGTGCAAAGGGACCAGGTTGTCCAATGGTATGTTCAGCATTTCTGTTTGTCTGCCCTTCCTCAAGAGCGTTTTTGTTATATGGCAATACAGACAAGAGTGTAGGGAGTAGCCAGAATGAAAAAGTCACAGACTGTTCAATTTTCCACTCCCAGCAGGTATGCTCATGCCACATGAGGAGAAAAAGATCTCCCTTACTTCCTCCTGCCCACCATTTCCCTAGAAAGAGAGAATGAAGTAGATATCCCATAGGCTTGTGCTGTCCCCATTCTCTGAGAAGATAAATAACCACTGAAGATTCTAGAGTGTGAGGGAGGGAGGAAGGAAAAGAAAACAGGTCTGTTAGCTTCCTTCGAACAAAGACAACTACAGGTAGTGGGAATCTTTTGAGGGAGTTGTCAGTAGAATGCAGGGGACTGGGGAAGGCAGGCTTCCATAGGTTTAAAATTCTGCCTGCTTATCTGAATCTCCAACCTTCAGAAGCCATAATAGTTAAGATACTCACATTAACAATCCATATTCATTAGGGTTCTCATTTAAAAAAACAAACAAACCTCGGTTTCAAAGGGCCTTAGAACCGCCCAGACAAGATGGCATTTTGGAGAACTGTCTATGGATAAAAAAATGGTAAATGTTTCCACCTGTGCAATGCAGTACATGCTATACAGATGGGATTTTTAAATGCACTCAGCTTGGCTTAATGGCTCCCATTGAAGCCAATTGTAAAATTCTCACCAATGTCACTGGGAGCAGAGTTAGGTCAATAAGCACATCTGAAAATCCTACCCGCTAATTGCTTTTGCCAGTTTAAGTCCAAACCTTAAATTTACTTTGAGCCATTTGAGGCTATATGGATGTTTAGCATATATGATATAAATGGCACTTGTATGGCTCTGCTGTTGTGTGCTATATAACCTCACATCCCAAAGACATCTCACTTCCTGAGATCAGAGCAGATTCTGATGTACCTTGAGATCTTGATCCTGCAAACACTTGAGCACATGCTTAACTTCACTACTTTCAGTAGTCCCATTGATTTCAATGGGACTAGGCATAGTAGTAAAATTAAGCAAATGTATAAGTGTTTCAG